AAAATGTATATGTTTGAAATCAATTTCGTTTTTATCAAATCTTTCAAATGTATTCCCTCCTTGCTGTCAGCTGATTGCGACGTTGCCACATTAATCCTCAAGTTAGAAATGCAATTATTGGTTTCTGTTTCTAATTAATACAGCTGTACTATGTTCAAAACTTACATTAATTTTACATAAAAAATTAGATAATACTGTGTACTATCTATGGAAAAGTTTTGTTTCACAATTTCTACATTTTTTTTCTCAGTTATGGGCAAAAAAGAGCCGCACCGTCCATCTTCGCCATATAAACCTATGTTAAAATGAACAACTTTCAACAATCTCAAAATCTAGATAAAAAAAATTAAAAAAAAATATGATGCACAGAGGGAGCACTGAGTAATACGCTATATAAATTTCAAGTACATCTGTGCATTTGAGTAAACCCGATATACCTCCTTAATCGGTTGGTGATTGTTGTAACTTGTCACGACACTTCATTCAACCAATCAGCGATCGGATTATCTCGAGCTTAGGCACAACGGCTGTTTGTTACTGTTCATTGTAAACGAATCGTTATGACTGATGACGCTAAATTGACGTTTGTGCATTTTTCAGTAGCGTTCGTCTGTTATTGTCTGTTTTGCTTCAATATTAAATCGTACATATTTCAAATTAATCCGCTGTTTTCACAGCTAAACTTTTTGGCACTTTGTCGAATTACTGCTACAAAATTCTGAGGTACAAAATTGCATCATTTTTGAGTGTAAATACTCTCGAATTCTGTTTAAAGCGGACCTCTAAAATTGAAATTTTTATTAGGTACAAAAGCAACTAATGATCGAAACTACAACGCCTGTGAGCTTGGAAAAAATGAATTGAAAACAGCATCTTTTTAGATAACAAATTCCGCCAACGCCTAATGAAGCTTTCGGACTGAAATTGCTACTTATATAAGGGTGCAAAGAGCTTAAAAAATCCTGAATTACAAGTGACTGCGATGAAAATTGCATTAATTTATTAGCAATTGAAGAAAACGGCCATTTTCGACCATTTTTGAGGTTTCGCGCATAAACAAATTATCGAAATCTACAGGTTTATTTAATACCTACCTTTTTTGTATAAACCTTTTTTCGTTATGAATAACAGTTTTTTTACGCGAGTGAAAAAAACCACTTTTCCACAACTTTGACCATTGTNAACGAATCGTTATGACTGATGACTCTAAATTGACTTTTGTTCATTTTTCAGTATCATCCGTCTGTATCCTCTGTTTTGCTTCAATATCAAATTGTACATATTTCAAATTAATCCGCTGTTTTCACAGTTAAACTTTTTGGCACTTTGTCGAATTACTGGTACAAAATTCTGAGGTTACAAAATCTGCATCAAAGTTGTCTGCTCAAAGAAGTATTTCTATTTTTGAGTGTAAATACTCTCGAATTCTGTTTAAAGCGGACCTCTAAAATTGAAATTTTTATTAGGTACAAAATCAACTAATGATCGAAACTACAACGCCTGTGAGTTTGGAAAAAAATGAATTGAAAACAGCATCTTTTTAGATAACAAATTCCGCCAACGCCTAATGAAGCTTTCGGACTGAAATTGCCACTTATATAAGGGTGCAAAGAGCTTAAAAAATCCTGAATTACAAGTGACTGCGATGAAAATTGCATTAATTTATTAGCAATTGAAGAAAACGGCCATTTTCGACCATTTTTGAGGTTTCGCGCATAAACAAATTATCGAAATCTACAGGTTTATTTAATACCTACCTTTTTTGTATAAACCTTTTTTCGTTATGAATAACAGTTTTTTTACGCGAGTGAAAAAAACCACTTTTCCACAACTTTGATCATTGTTTAAATAAAGTTCCCCAAATAGTCTCGAGTTAATTTTTTGATATTTTGTTTATAACACGTTTCCGAACAATATTCCGCAGAGAATTTTCTAATACTATTTTTTCCCGAAAAAAAAACTATAATGACTGATCTAATCTGATAGACGAGCCCACAGCTCTTTTTTTCGAGAACAACAATAGGGCAAACCGCATCTCTTTATTACCGTTTTCGAGCTACAGGGCGTTCCTCGATTTTTGGCTAAACGCTTTCAAGATATCTTGAAACAATTCTACATGCATTTTTTTGAGATACATTCGATGACATAAAAATAAATGTGATAATATTGATAATATTTTTAGTTTTTGTGATATGACCACAACCTGTGTTTTTTTCATATGGAACACCCCGTATTTCATTTTAAAAACGGAAAGAGGGCTAAAAATTCATTCCAAAAATATATAACTTTACTTATTATTTTTTGAGTAGATTTGCGGAAAGTATAAAATGTTCAAAATACCAAAAGTATTTAAATTTTCTCGTATTATTAAAAAGTAGTGTTCGTTAAATCGATATTTCTCGAAAACGGATCGAGATACAGAAATGAAACAAGAAAACATAATTAATGGATAAATGATTGCTCTTTCAGGTTCTGAATCAAGTTTCATGTTAGACATACAGGATAAAAAATTATTAACTAAATTTTCGGTAAAATTGGTCATAAGTGTCGCCCTCTATGAGCAACGCTGAAATTGCAACACGCATCTTCATAAATTTTCAAGCTCCTAACCTACATATTTTCAGAATAATCGCAAAAAAACTATTTAAAATTTTAACTTTCAACACGCTATATTTACGAAACTATCAACTTTCAGATCTCACGTGTAGTATCTTTAGCTTTTCGATTTCCCACTGTTAATGAATCACCCTGTATTTCTCTACGAAACTACCTATAAACGTTGTATACTGAACCCTTATTTTACATTTTTAGCGTAACTACTGACAATGAGTTGCAAGTAGATTACTTTTAAAAAGATGGGGACACCGCACATATTGCAAGAGCAACAATTTTTGTGATAATCGACTGATTAGTCAAGGGTTGTCACCAGCGAACTGATTCCATTATTTTTTGTTTGGATATCTGAAAAATACTAATTTTAAAACCAATGCCACAACATCGAGGAATTAGAAGCTACAGGTATTTGAGAAATTAACAATGTAACAGAACAACTATACGGAAATATGCATAGGAGAGTAAATTTGTGCAGTTTGAAGTTAATATGTAATGTTTTTTTCGCGAATATGGCAAATACCTTACAAATTTATGAGTTTGAATTTATTTTATATTGCAGCG